CTTCGCCCACTGAGGAAGAGCTGGAGGCTAACGCAGATGACTGCCCAATCTGCTTTTCAGCCATGACCGTCAATGATGCAAAACTGACGCGTTGTGGCCACATCTACCACACTGACTGCCTCTCTCAGTGGATGCGTCGACAGTCATTCTGCCCAGTATGCAACTCAGATCTCTTCTCGTCATCAGTGAAGAGCACTCGCATCCTCACGAGTGTTGTCAATCAGAGGCCGGAGGACTCGCCTGTCGCCTCCTGAAACTATTTCGCTTCCTGCTTTCCTCCGTCCCGTATATCATACCATCACCACCACCTTGACCCTTTTAGGGTCCTTCACGCCTGTTCCAAGATCTACCTCCCTCTCAAAACCAAATAAGAAACACCTCCGAGTCTTATGACACCGTGCCACATCCAACTTGATCAAACGAAGCCGTTCGCCTACTTCCCCCTGTATCTATCCACCACCGTCTTCTAATATCAAGGCTCATCTCCTCAGCATGGCGCATTTCAGTAATGATGCTTTAGTTTCCATGCGCGCCCTTTTATGAGGAGACCTTGTGGACCATTATCAGGTTTTCATGCATGGACCTTAATAACTGAGGCTTTGTCTTCTGTACTGCGTACAACACAATACATATTATTGTTTTGTTTGTGGGGTTTTGTTCCTAATCCTCCTTCTTGACCCTTAGATGCTACACTTACAGTGAGAGCCGTTGTATTTTGTGTTAAGAAGCTCTCAGGTCCGACAGGCATGTTTTTGGCCGTATGAACTCATTTGAAGTTAAACTGCTGGTTAGTGAAGAACAGTCTTATCAATTCGCCCCAACAGTTGTTTCGCATCTCTGGGTACGGTTTAGCGCGAAATTTTGATGGGCAATAAGCAAGTATCCAGAGTTTTAATCACAACTGTCCTGCGCAGCGACGACATGGGAACCTCGTGGCTAAATAAGTGAGAAAGAACATCATACAGTGCAATTCTACATCGGCAGTTTTTTGTCGGCGAAACCTTGACTTCTTGTTCCTTTAGAAATTGTCAGCCTTTCCGCCAGGCTTATTCGAATTAACAGTATAATTTCCTAGAGCAGCCTACCCAAAGCAAGAAAGTCAGAACCAGAATACGCTCTAATTTGCGTTGAGGTCGAACCGTCGGTGCCCGGAATTCGTGTTCTTACGCCAAACTGTTGCGGCCAAACTGGCCGTTTGTGCGGACTAATTCACATTCTGCTATTCCCAGGCCTATTGGAGTTAGAACCACATTTCTGCTGAAACTGGAAGGAAATTGTCTTACATGCAAAATACTAATTGCACCAGGCAGTACCCATCGTTTAAGATTTCAGAATTATAACATTTCTAAGGTCAGTCTGAATGGTAGGGGTGCGCACAACTAACAAACTTTTGACTCATTAAGCGCACATTTCCACTCTAGATTGACGAATTAAGTAAATAGTGTAAAGAAGGTGAACACACAATCTCTGGGATATCTCTGTGTTCATCTTCTTTACAACAAGAACCTGGGATTCGCACATTCACCTCCATCCGTAAGCGAATAATTTTAACCGCATCTGCGGGTAGCTACACCTGAGCTCGCAGAGAGACTGGATGCTAGTGAGTTACCCACTGCCAACGTCTAATTCCGTAGTTTAAAACTGTGGTTAAGTTTGTTGGTGAGCGATCGTGAAGTCAACTTGCTGCTGTCTGAACCGTCTCGCGAACGGATTGTGACCTTTAAGGAAAGACGCATTTTTCTTGACAGTCGGGAATATTCAACTCAGTAACTCTGATCTCTCAAAACATTTTCCGGAGTTGTCATATGTCAAAAAGCCGTGACCGCCCGTTTTAGTGGTCTAATGCTGGCTTCATCTACTACGGGTTCCCTACATGACGTGGAACGACCACTACAGAGGCTGAATATTGGGTGTTTAACACCCAACTCTGTTCGGTGAAAAATGTCATATCTTCCTCATGAAACCGTCTGTACGAACTTAAAATGGTCAAACCGAATTTTCATTGTCCTTCCGGCTCCCCCCATCTTTCACAGTCAGTTGATCATTTTTTCGGTCTTTTGGCTGGTTTTGCGAACTGCACTCTCATAAATAGACATCCACTGTGGAAACCTTGATGCAGTTGACCGTCTCCCAAAACTAGTACTTTTATATTAAGGGGATGGAATGCCTAGTTGTTTCCTGGCGGAGTTGTGCTTACTGTTATCTTTGCTGTTTTGCTAATTTTCTGGTGGCGCTGTCACTGCTGGTCCGCGACTGCCTATTCGTCAGACCCGAGAACCTGCTGAAGGCCGTTTCAATGTCCGCCCTCTGCGGATATACCGGGCAGGTAGCAGTCGGGCTAACGAATGAACTGAGCACGGTAGATCCCACTAGACTTAAAAGTGCAAGTAACCACCACTGGAGAGAACTGTGGACTGTAGCCACAGGGAAACCGAAAAGACCGTTTCCAAATAGGGTCAGATGGCAAACCTCATAAGCTATTCTCCATTGCGCTCTATCTAAAATACAGATGTCGTTGACTACACATGCTCGTTTGAAGGCCAAGTAGCAAATCAGACGTAGTGGTCTGACTTTCTGTTTCTGCATTAGTATAATCAACTATGAATTACGTCCTAGTAGTCATCTGGTGGATTCTAGGTGAATTACTTAGGAATTCCTGCTTGGGCAGTCAACTTACTTTATCAGATTTGGTGGATTCCAGACGTTGCAGTAGGTTGGGCGGGTAACTTGACCCAAATGTGATTAAACTCGTGTCGTCCGGCGGGGCCCCGTAGCTCAAGTGGTTAGAGCGTTGGCTGTACTAAAGCCTTCCCCTTACTGCGTGGGTTCGTATCCCACCGAGGCGCCGAGTTTTTCACAGTTGGGTCAATATGAATAATCAACTAAGTAATTTTCTATTCACTATGCCTTGACAGCACTTGGCCGCTATCTTTTAGGCATACTGGGGACGGATTTTTCCGTAGAGGAGATGTGGCTTAGGTCTGAATGATCATAAATATTAGCCATACTGGCTAACGCTGTATTCACCTTGGTCACCTATACTGTCAAAAAGCAGGGCCGCAAAATTCCTCAAAAAATTTCGGTGTATAATTGCCAACTTTAAATAAGTGCAGTTCAGCGTCGAGGTTAATGGCCACAGTGTCATTATCTGGTTTTGCAGTTGGCGTGTCACAACTCAACTCTCAGCGTCCCGACGCCACTGTCGCAGCTGACCCGAAGCTGTCTATCCGCAGCATCCAAGAACTTGCTTATTTCGCCGTTCCACTATCCGCCACCTATGGATGAGCGGGGTAGCTGTAAATCACACTGTCGGGAAACACGTTTTACGTCGAGCTCCTAAGTCCGAATCCCGGACTCAGGTTCCTGGGGTATCGAATCCCTCGGGATCAACTCACACCTTGCCCTATACTCCTGTGACCTACGCGACTCTTTTGGTGGACACAGTGCAGTGCTTGCCCTCTCCAGACAGACAAACAAAGTATTGCTGGCCTTTGGGTCGAGTAAGTGGCCGGTTGGCGTGCCTAAGGCAGATTGGACATTTTATTAACACCCGCCGTTTCCACCTACACATCGTCACCAACTGTCGACGGACGCGACAAAGAAACTTAAGAGTGCAATAATTGGCTGGAACTTCCCTCGCCGCAGTCTTGGTTATTGCGGTTGAGCGAAATTTAACAGGCGGATTCGCAAGCATCCAGTTAGTCGGTCGCTATGCACCTCGACCTCAATGCGACAAAAATTATCGATTGTCGGCGGGTTGTCACCAACAGGCGCTTCTAACATCGCCGTTAACGTCTGCTAACCCGTTATTCCAACAATGGCCATACGGCTGACCAGACTGGCCACATTCTAGTCAATTCAAGGTTTCACAGCTGAGTTCATGATAGCAGGCCGATGTTTGGTTCCACTACAAACACTTGACCAGGATTTTAACCAACAACAGCCATTGGTGGTGGCAGGGATTCCGTTTAGAGCGACGTGAGCCGGCAACTGTGCCTACTACCACACTCCAAATGTTAGCATTTGTTATGGTACGCGTTCGCGATAACGCCTGCCAGAATCCGATCTAGTCCCTGTGTTGGTCCAGCGCAGCTACCGCATGACCCGTTTTCAGCGCTAGTAGTAACTACTTCGTTGTCTTCGCCGGCAATGCTTTTCGATTGTTGCTTACTCGTCCTTATGCTATCGTCTGCGGTTGCTCCAGATTGGAGCTTCAAGGAGAAACTGAACTTCAAGCAGCCGAGCTCGGCAAAAGCCACCCGAACGTGACTCCTAATCATTGTTTTCGGTAGGGGTCAGTTACGCTGTCCTGGTCCCAAGTTTAAGCGCAAGTCGGATGGCGGAATCGGTGGTGGGAAAGTAGCCAAAGCTTAAACGAAAAGGGGCAACCTGATGTTTCGGTCCACAGGTAGGGTCGGTTTTAGGGTTTGGGTTAGTGTCAGGCTGAGAGTCGAATTTAGGGTTGGGGTTTGTGTTAAGTTTTTTGTGTTCGCGTCAGAGTTAGGATTTGGATTGCAGTTTAGTTCTACTTTTATCGTTCAGGCGGGGGTTATTGTTAGGGTTAGGGTTAGGGCTAGGGCCTGTGGTAGATTCAGTTTTAAATTTAGGGTTAGCGTTAGGCTTATAATTACGATAAGGATTAGGTTTACTTTTGAGGTTACGGTTATGTTTGGTGTATTGCTGCACCCCGTGTCCTGCCAGCCAGGTCATTTGCGGGATTCTAGGCTTCCCTCAATCTCGCAGCAGATTTATCATACATTAGATTGCCTTTTCCGTTCCAGCCTCGGCCACTTTCCCCACTAACGATTTCAACATTCCCCTTCGGCTCACTTTCCTTTCAATGCCCACATTGCGCTTTCACTTGTGCATAAGTGTCGCAGTCGGTCGTTCCCCCGTTTTCTCATTCTTGGCGTTTTCTTTTGAATCATAGCTCGCCCATAGCATGACCCGTTTATATATGGATGCGTTCTCTCCCCCCCCCCCCCATTGTAGGCTGAGGCATGCTCCGACGGATCTTGAAACTGTCTGTTTATGCTCAACTTCCTGGCCGACCTGGACGATGGATAACCGGTTTGTCTGGCCAAAGGACAGTGCAAGCGTGCCCGCTGCCGCCAGCACCGACCTTTCTCTCTTCCAGCAGACACTTCTGTTCAAACCTGCCGGGCGACCTTGTGTGTGAGGGGCCCCATGAATCTAACATTGAAACCCCCGATGGTGAGAGCATTGTCGAATCGGATAAAAACATGAGCATCGAGTTTACCTGCAATGTAGGTTTTCGTTATTTTTTTCTTTGTGACTCCCAACACTGTTCGTAAAGAAATGCAAAAACCGAACCAAAAAATACTTCTCTAAACTGGCCTACACGAAGGGTCTCGTCATCATCCGTTGTCCATCCTGTCAGGCCCTGCATCTCATTGCTGACAACATTGGATGGATAAAGGAGCAGACACCCTGGTACGAGGACTATTTTCATCTCGTATGCATTGCCATTTAACCCTAATTTAGGCGAATCGGAGAGCAGAAGCATCTTTTAAAGGCTGGGGCTGGTGAGACCGCTGAGGACGAAGGCGAAAAGTAGAAGTACCGCTGCGACGAGCTCCTGCGTTTGTACCAAGAGAAGTAGAGAGTAAATTACCTTGTATGATATTCAAATCCTTGCACTGTAAAATCTCAGGCCTTCCTTGCTGTCTTACCACCGAATGCCCATGTTTTCATTTCCCGCGGTTTTTTTCGGTGCGAGGTGTGTTCCGCGGCAGCCATTCAGACGGACTTGTCTACTGTGTTTTCTGCCCGTGTCTTAGAAATACTGCATGGCCTACATGCTTCATTTTGCTTTTTGCCGCTGTTCATACTATGCTCGCTCGTGGCTTTGACATCTTTGTACATAAATCTCGCTTAATCGTCGGAGTGCGTCCTTTGACCGGCTACTCGAAGTGCGTGGTGCATTGGTTATCTTTTCTGAACTGCCAAAAACGGTGCTCTGCGGCGTTGGTTTGTACGAATATTCCGTCTTAACCGATGCGCCACACAATCGAAGGCATGAATGTTAGCATTTACGGCGGCGAAATTACTGCTTGGATAATTTATATGGTCGTGGGGCCGGATGCCGGAGGGGGGTCGGACCGTCAATGTAGATGACTCGGGTATAATAACTACTTGTGCGATAGAAGTGATGGGACGAGTTTCAGGAAATAGTCGCTGGAACAAGAGCTTTAAAGCTTTGCTTCATCTGCTTGTCGATTGCAATTTCTCACTTAGTATGGACTGACCCGTGCTACTTATGTCTGCGTGAGCGTCAGGCATACTTTATAGGCGGATCTTGAGGTAGAAAATAAGACGCCAGTAATGTGGTCAGAACCCTGTAAGTATAGGTCGGCCGTCCGTTGTCCGAATTACCACAGTTCTCTCTCAGAAGTCCAGATGCTAATGAAGTCCACACATTTAAGTCAGGTGTCGGATGGCGAATAACACCCTGATGATGCCCCAGTCTGTTTGCGGAGAACGTCAGTAACCTAAATAGGCATCTATTTGCGCACATTCGGGCTCCTGGTGATAGTCGTTTGGATTGCATGTCAGGAAATGCGCAGCCAACTTCCCGCACCAGACAACTTACCGGCTCGGACAGTGATTGGGGCCTGAGAATGAGAATGAGAGCTGTGTCGGTGTCTCAGTACATCTTTCTAACCATAAACAGTCTAGTTTGGTAGGAAGTCACATTGTCTTTAGACTTTATGCTCGAAGAAAGGTTGCATTTCGGCTTTCAAAAATTTTCTCAATTCCCGAATAGTTTTGAACCAGGTCAGCCATTGCATTAGCGTTTAGCGATCCCAGTCTACAAGGTGCATGCTTTCCGCGTAAAAAATTCCACATTCCTCCGTGCCTTTAAGAAAATACCACGTGGTGTTCATAAAATTATGCGGTGGATGAGGACTGTGTTGTACGTCTCATGAGGAGCATTGGTAAACATACATGTGCAATGCTGTACGTACGGACATCGCACGGTCTCAAAAATTCCATAATTAGAAACTTTTTAGAAACCGAAAAGTAGCCTTTCTTCGAGTATAAAGTGAAAAGACAATATTATTTCCTACCAAACTAGTAAAAGAAAGCCCATTACTGTCCATGTTTTCTATAAAATATATTTAAATTTATAGAACCATCGAAAATCAATGCGAAAACTGCATGCTACTTAATTA